GATATATTTAAAAACAGCTTATAGAGACAAAAGGGTTACATTATCGATAACATATAGTGCATATTAGAATACAAAAATAGGGAAAAGGTGACTTGATCCCAGATTTTTTAAAAAGAAAAAAAAAAAATGGAAGAAAGGGGGGTCCATACTCCAAGTGCCTGTTCTTTAAAAGAAAACTTACATGTAACCCTTAAGTTGGTGAGCAATATCATTTACTTTCCGTTTTTATTCTACTCTGCAAACCGCTAAGTGTTATAACTAGGGATGTCAATTTTGTCAATAATTCATATTCGAATATTCAATGAAAGTATTCGAATATATTCGAATATTCGATAAAATAAATAAAATCTGTTTAATTTATATATACATCATCCTACTCTCATGAAAGGTTTTGCGTAGGTATACTTATATTGGAAGTAAAATTGACTTTTGTACGTGTACAATAAGAAATTTCATTTGATATTTGTCAATGTTTGAAATAAATAATTGATTTCAATGTAGAAAAGTATAATTTTAACAAATGAAACATGTGTATTTATAGTAGCTCCAACTGAGGAACCAGTCGTCTTACCAAAGGCAAGATATAGTCGTAACGGTGTACTGTTCTGATAAATTACAATTATCTGCCTAATAAGAGATATGATTATAATCTTTAATACAATGTTTTTAAAATATAAACAAATATTTCCATAGACAATTTTCCTAGGTAATTAACTAATTTCCCGATAATGAATATAAAATTTAGGATTATGGACAACCCGAGATAATCAAGTAATTTACACAATTACTCTGAAATTGAGTAATATTTATAATTACAGACTAATTCTATCGGACATTCCTTCAATGATCAATTAAATATATTTTGAAAAGTATACTCTTCGCGTCTTTTAGACATTCTAAGAAGGTTTTCATTTTGTTGTCCTCGATTCTAGACCCGATGGTATCTAACTGATAAAAACTATGAAAGAACGGTTTGTATTATACATAAAGCATTATTGTACAATTCCTCAACACCTTACTCAAAACAATATAAATGTAATTTAGTATACCTATAAGATAAGAAAGTAGTGAAAGAAATCAGGAGATCGAAATTGATTGCTAGTAAATTAAACAGGGATAATTCCAGCATTGTTCTAATCAAAATTTATTAATCACAGTGCTTCTTTTTATGAAATCTGAAAAACAACGAATATTCGAATCTTAAATTCATATTCGAATATTAACTCATCGAATGAATATTCGAATATTCGTTGCCATCCCTAGTTATAACTAAAGATATTTACAGACTTTGCTTCACCTGAAGAAAAAGAAATAATGAAATTGAGTGGTATTAATTTGCAAGCTTGTAGCCATCTTGAGAGCAGTATCATATCCAGCAATGGCATCTAAAGCTTAGCCAAAATTCGATTTATTTTTTTATTATTTTTTTTTATTTATTTATAAATGCAAGTTACTGAAAATAGCAATGAAAGTTCATGAAGTGACACTAATATAAAAACAGACTTGATTTGGAAATATTCCGTGGATTTTTTTTTTAGCTCTCAGTTCTCAAAAATACTATATATGCTATTTTTCTTATTTTTCACATCATTAAATTTTCACGATCTTTCCATAGATTGGGAATCTTTCTGAAATAAACAATTATGTCTGTATATTTTAAAGCTCATGTTATTAACAGTAAACTTATGATCCAATGATTTATGTTTGAATGTACTAGGGTCCCGTCCCCACCTGTGGTTCTATATGAAATCCAGTCAAAGCGCCCCCTAAGAAAACCGTCCCGGTCAAAATGTCCCCTGATTTTGGTCAAAGCGTCCCCTGATTTTGGTCAAAGAGCTCACTGATTTTAGTCAAAGTGCCCCCTGATTTTGGTCAAAGAGCCCCCTAATATAATTTTACAGTAAAATGATGTTACAAAACCGCCCCCCCCCTCCAATATTGGTCAAAGCGCCCCCTCATAATTCTTATAGAAAAATTTCATTTCGAAACCGTCCCCAAGCAATGTGCCCCCTTCTGATTTTGGTCAAAGCGCCCCTTAGATATTTTTATAGAATGTTCGTTTGCAATTTAAAAAAAAAAAATAAAAAAAACCTAAATTTTTATTTAATTTCATTTTATTTCCCTTTACTAATTTATGCTATTTATTTCGTATCCCGAAAAATACATTTCATATATACTTTAAGTTTTAGTTGATTTTTGTTTGTTCAACGTTGTCCCATGAAAAATGTTTCATAGATTAAGTTTGCATAATCTTAAAGAAAACATTTCCAAAGAAATGAGAATGTTCGCCGGTATCATTTAATTATCCCCCTACCCCCCAAATGATACCGATGCCGTTGCTCAGCTCTTGCCACGCGGAGGCCTAAGTGTGAAATGGTCGTACAGAAATGTAAAATTTGGAAATTAGAAGTTTATTACACTGAATAAAATCCTAAAAGCACATACAGTGTATCAAGATGATATTATTTAATAAATTGATATACTTTTTTTCTTCTTTTTTTTATGCATATATTAAAGAAAAATGAAAATGGAGAGTAAACTTGATCGGATTACTTTTACACTACCGAACAGAAATATACTATTGTTAGTTATATTACATATTCTAATACTATGATTTACTATGTATCTTCATATGCAAAGATGCATGGGGAACTGAAACTTTTTCAGACTTGCATAAAGATGTTATACATAGTTGCATTGAAGTAGTTTTCCTTTCAGGATTTTACATTTAAATTTTTCCTTTTTTCAATTTATCTAATTTTAAAAAATTACGCTACTTGTATAAAATACCGTCCTCAAGTATTGGTCAAAGCGCCCCACAATATATTTTTTTAAAGGGGGGAAGACGATAAGAAACCGTTTCTAATTATTTATCAATTTGTCAAAATATCACTATCGTACGGTGGCTGCTATAGGACATGGTATGAGAATTTTTTTTATTAATTCGTGGCCACGAAATTAAATTCGTGGGAACGAAATAAAATTCGTGGCCACGAAATAAAATTCATGGCCATGAAATAAAAAATCGTGGCCACGAATTTTTATTTCGTGGCCACGAATTTTTATTTTACAATTATATGTACATATAGTGTTAAAATGATAATTTGCTATGGACCTAGTGAGGGTCTGTCCCATGACACACAGACACAGTTAGATTATTGTTACTTGCCCGCACTGATGAACATCATTATAAATACCTATATATTTAATTTGCATATATATTAGAAGCAGCTGAGAATTGGTACATGCATTATGAACATAGTTTAGATGTAAAAAAAAAAAAAAAAAAAAAAAAAAAGAATAAACTCTCTCTTTTGCTCTGTGCCCAAAATTAAAACAAAACATTCAAGCTGATTCAATTGACTGTTCTGGAGTTTTAGGCAGTTCAATGATACTTCATCCAAAATGACATCCTAACCAAATGATAAAACAAAATGAAAGTGTTCTCTTTAGCTTGTCATCATGCTACATGACACAGCATGAAGTCACGATTTTTTAGATGATATAATACACAGGGACAATTTTATATTAGTCAAGTTATGTATTTTTATAATATATTTCTATAATAATTCTGGTAAGTTTTGTTCCTGATATTAGTCAAGGCAACCCGAACATTAATGACTTTAAGGGCTTATTTGCTGTTTTCTAACATTTTCTATTGAATCCTGTCACATAGTTGTAATGAAATAAAGACACAAAATCTTAGCATGTGAGGAGTATAACTACGTATCAGTATCAAATTTCATTGCTCATTACACAAATATCCCGTTGGCTCATTCCAATTGAATGATATAGTTATATATAAGTTCGTTCATCTTGAATGACATAAAACAGAAGAAGCTAAAATGGCGTTGTGTAGCAAACTTTATTTCGTGGCCACGAATTTTTATTTCGTGGCCATGAATTTTTATTTCGTGGCCACGAATTTTATTTCGTTCCCACGAATTTTATTTCGTGGCCAAGAATTTTTATTTCGTTCCCACGAATTTTATTTCGTGGCCACGAATTTTTATTTCGTTCCCACGAATTTTATTTCGTGGTCACGAATTAATTAAAAAACAAATCTCATACCATGTCCTATACCAGCCACCGTACTATCGGTTTCGTCAGAGACATATATGTCTCTGGTTTCGTTAAAGAATATTCTCCACGGGGCGCTTTGACCAAAACAAAGGGGCGCTTTGACCAATTCTTGGGGACGGTATTTTAACATCAATTTCCTGTAAAATTCTATAAGGGGGCACTTTGACCAGAATCAGGGGGCCATTTGACCAAAATCATGGTACGCTTTGACCGGAACGATTTTCTTAGGGGGCGCTTTGACTGGCTCCCGTTCTATATCTACGGCCATACATGTGTATAGCTTACAAAATTCAACGTACCTTAATTAATCAGAAAGCCTAGAACCAGAGACACAAATAATTATTTATGTCACTGCTAAAACCAGCGATGGCATTTAAAGAAAAAAAATTGACTAAAACCAATCAACACTGATCAAGGAAGACGCAATTAATTTCAATCCATTAACATGTTAATTGAGTACTAAGCATGCTAAGTATAGTCAATATTTCATGTGTTACCACTTCATATTTTTTTCTAGATTATTCTTCTTTTAAAACGAAAGAGGAAGCTTAGCACGCAGAAATTTCTGGATTTGAAAAGTTTTATCATTTATTTCAGAGAACACATGTGTAAAAACACGTGATTTCATCATGTTTGAGCGGTAACGAGAGGGAGTCGTATCTATTATATTTCGTAATATAAAAATTTGAATTTGATATCGTATAAATCTTTCAGAAAAACTTTAAAATAGTTAATTTTTCCTGAAAACCTTTTTTTTCTTTCATTAACTTCTTTTTAGAGAATCTATAACATTCTTTATGTGTGCTGACTTATAAAATAATTCGAAGAAGTATGCTCCCTATTTGTCTTGGATACGAATTCTATTGGGTGCAAGGGGGCTAGAACATTCTAGATTCTTCTAAATGACGTCACATCCTCCCTTTGATAAAAGATCGGAACACGCCGGGTAAGAGAACAGACCGGTGAGGAAAAGAAAAAAGGTTAGCAGGAGTCAAAGTACATCTAGGTACGTATTTTACTACTTGAAATATACTACAGTATAGGTGCTTTGGATGTGCTGTACTGCCGGTTCACGCGATTGCTGAAAGTGTTTCTGAAATACTTATTTTCGTAAGACAAAGAATAACCTCTTGTTTTTTATATACGGGGTAGTTTAATAGAACAGTGAGTAAGTTGAAAACTCGTGACCGTTGCCTTGACGAATACTTTTTCTATAGTTTAATTTCAGACGTCATACATTGCATTTTTTAATACGTTTTCAGCAACATGAGTAAAACCGCCCAAGCGATCGGTATAGATCTTGGAACAACATATTCCTGTGTAGGAGTCTTTCAGCATGGCAAAGTTGAGATCATTGCTAACGATCAAGGGAACAGAACTACACCTAGCTATGTAGCATTTACAGACACAGAGAGGTTGATTGGAGATGCTGCCAAAAACCAGGTTGCCATGAATCCTACCAACACAATTTTTGGTAAGCACCATTCATGGAAATTTGAAATTCGGATCACTGAAAAAGCTATTATATTTATATATTTATAGCAGTGTGAAGTCGCCCATTAAAAATGCACAATTTTATTTTATAGATGCCAAGCGACTCATTGGTAGGAAATATACCGACCCCTCCGTTCAAGCAGATATGAAACATTGGCCATTCCATGTTGTCAACAATGCATCAAAGCCAATGATCCAAGTAGAATACAAAGGAGAGCAGAAAACATTCTCTGCTGAAGAAATATCATCTATGGTCCTGACAAAGATGAAGGAAACAGCTGAAGCATATCTAGGCAAAGTAAGAACTTGCTTGCATCCTTCATTTCAAAAAAAAAAAAAATACAATTGGGCATTGAACAAGAGTCCAATTAGAGTACAAGTTAACATTCTTTGAATATGTACCAGGTCTGGCACAATCTCTTCATAAAGCTGTATAGCTTGAATTAGCTTTATTATGCTATTCAGAGTAGCTTGATCTAGCTGCTTCATCACACTTTTTTCTTAAATTTGATATTTTTTCAACATGTATAATTTAATTCTGGTTATAACGTGGTATTTGATTGGATTAAAAATTTACTTTATATTGTATAAATTGGGTTGCCTACATCACAACGACTTGCATCAAAAACGTATCGATCCGCCCGACGTAACATTTGAATTTTGTACAATTTGAAGTCGATTTTGAAGGGCTGTCCTCTTTTTTTTCTTACACTAAATGAATGAAAATTAAATTGTAAGGAATGAAATTAATAGCTACCCAATTTATACGGTGTAAAGTGGGTTGGAACAGTTTACGCTTTGCGGTTTATGAAGCGTAAACTGCCCCAACCCACTTTACACCGTATAAATTGGGTAGCTATTAATTTCATTCCTTAAATAAAATGTTGCACCTAAAAAGAGTTCTAAAAGTTTTGGGGCTATATAAAGCAATTTGTTACCACACAGTTGCTTCTAGAATGAAATTCGAAGGTCAATTATTTTGAACAAGATGATTGATAATAATTCAGCACAATGTGAAGTAATGCTTATCCATGCCTCAATGCACACAGGGTGGTGTACAGATATCCAAACAATGAAAATGAGTCTTTTGGTTACAAGTATTCTAAAACTGCAACGTTAGAATTATCTTTGGTTTGGGTTGCTTTTTGATAGTCCATAGTATAAATACTTGCAACTTTTATGTCTCTTACAAACCATTTTTGTGAAAAATTGCATATAAATAGGCTAAAATAAGCTTTTTAAATCTTTTTCTGGAAAGCTTAAACGTATATACCTAACTCAAGCTATATAGCTTAAGAGATTGTGCCAAACCTGTATACATAATCAAATGTTCTTTTCTTGAAATTGATAGCAGCACTAATGTTTTTTCCATAGAGGTCTTCCTTGGTGGCTTTATTACACTCTCTCCTGAATTCTCTATAAAATTAAGAGGAAAAAGGAAAAGCTTTTGTTGTTTGTTTTTTCAAGTCGTTTCATGTAAATTGCAGACAATTACCAATGCTGTGGTCACAGTTCCTGCCTACTTCAATGATTCACAACGACAGGCTACTAAAGATGCTGGTACAATTTCAGGGTTGAATGTTCTACGTATTATCAATGAACCCACAGCAGCTGCCATTGCTTATGGTCTTGACAAGAAAGTTGGAAATCAATCGGTAAATTAATTTTAGAAATTCTTAAGGGCTAAACAAAGTTTGGAATTCAAGAAAGCTTTAAATTAAAAAAAAACAAAACCTTTCAACTTGATTGGAAATGAAAGCAACAATGAAAACTGTATGGCAGCAGCAAATTATTGTGTGTCTATTTAATGCTTTAAAATATTTTTTTTTTTCATTTTAGCAAGGAGAGCGCAATGTCTTGATCTTTGATTTGGGAGGAGGAACCTTTGATGTCTCAATTCTGACCATTGAAGATGGAATCTTTGAAGTCAAATCTACATCAGGAGATACTCATTTAGGTGGTGAGGACTTCGATAACAGGATGGTGAACCACTTTATCCAAGAATTCAAACGAAAACACAAGAAAGACATTTCTGACAACAAACGAGCTGTTAGACGTCTGAGAACAGCATGTGAGAGGGCAAAGAGGACCCTTTCATCAAGCTCTCAGGCCAGTATTGAGATTGACTCTCTGTTTGAGGGTATTGACTTTTACACTAGTATTACCAGGGCTAGGTTTGAGGAACTGAATGCCGACTTGTTCAGAGGAACCATGGAGCCTGTAGAAAAGGCTCTGAGGGATGCCAAGCTGGACAAGGGACAGATTCATGACATCGTCCTTGTGGGAGGATCTACTCGTATTCCAAAAATCCAGAAACTTCTGCAGGACTTTTTCAATGGAAAAGAATTGAACAAATCCATCAACCCCGATGAGGCTGTTGCTTATGGAGCAGGTAATTGTTAAAAAATTCTTGCACTTTTTGCATTTTTCTTTGTAGAGAGGTAACAAGAGACAGATGGGAAAACTGTTAACTAACTGTGAAAAGTAAATGTTAAGTAATTTCACCTACTTTTCTTTTTTCTTTTAGCTGTCCAGGCTGCCATTTTATCTGGAGATAAATCTGAGGAGGTCCAAGACTTGCTCTTGTTGGACGTCACACCTCTGTCCCTTGGTATTGAGACCGCTGGAGGTGTGATGACAAGTCTCATCAAAAGGAACACTACCATTCCAACAAAGCAAACGCAAACATTCACTACGTACTCTGACAACCAGCCAGGTGTGCTCATCCAAGTGTACGAAGGAGAAAGAGCGATGACCAAAGACAACAACCTGCTTGGAAAATTCGAGCTGACTGGTATTCCTCCGGCACCTCGAGGAGTTCCCCAGATTGAAGTCACCTTCGATATTGATGCCAATGGTATTCTAAATGTGTCTGCTGTAGATAAGAGCACAGGCAAAGAGAATAAGATCACCATTACCAATGACAAAGGTAAGTCTGAAAATTAAATGGTTAGTTATATTTTCTAGTACTGGTGATATTGTGATGAAAATTTGTTCTCCATTCGCGGTTTCCACCAGAAGGCACTTTTGTGTCTGAAGATGGCTTAATCCTTCCTTGGATGTCTGAATATCACCAATGCAAGGTTTCAACAAATTTTGTTATTTTGATTGCAGTAGAGATTCATTTAATTTATTATTTCAGGACGTCTCAGCAAAGATGAAATTGACCGTATGGTTAGTGACGCTGAGAAATACAAACAGGAGGATGAGAAACAGCGTGACAGAATTGCTGCCAAGAATGGTCTAGAAAGCTATGCCTTCAACATGAAATCCACAGTTGATGACGAGAAACTGAAGGACAAAATCAGTGAAGGTGACAAGAAGACAATCCTTGACAAATGTGATGAAATTATTAAGTGGATGGACCAGAACCAATTGGCTGAGAAGGAAGAATTTGAACACAAACAGAAGGAACTGGAGGGAGTTTGCAACCCTATTATCACCAAGTTGTATCAGGCCGCTGGAGGTGCCCCTGAGGGTGGTATGCCAGGAGGAATGCCCAACTTCGGAGGTGGTGCCCCAGGTGGTGGTGCAGCTCCAGGTGGCGGTAGCGGCGGTGGACCAACTATTGAGGAGGTCGATTAAAGAAATTGGAAAAGATCATGGCACAACAATTAATACAAAATGCTAAAAAGACTGTATTATCAACTGTCAAGTCCCATGTTGTTGTGTGTAAAATTGTTGAAAACTTGCAATGCTCATGTTATCTTCGTTGCTATGTTTAATTTATTGGAAACAATTACTAAAGTAAAAATTGTTCTGATCAATATGTTTGTGGTATTTTGCGGTATTTATTATACGGAAACGCAAAAGAAACGCAACATCCTATTTGAGGGGGAAATATTATATATAGGATATAATTTTGTATCTAAGAAGTAAGGACATCTTAACTTTGTGAATGTCGGTAATTTAACGGTTGAATGATTTTCATACCATTACCGGAAGTTTGAGTCCGCTTAGGCCTAAAAAAAAAATTGTTTCATGTAACATTCCCAAAAAATCGAGGGTCGGTAGGTCGGGATTTTTTTTTTTTTTTTTTTTTTGTGGCTTATGAAATATGCGTTATATACAAGTACGTTGTAAGCGGTGTTTTTACAAATGAAATGTATAGACACTTTGCCGGGACTACGAAATGGCCACTTTACATCCGGAGATACTTTATAACCGTGTACGTTATAAAAGAAGTTTACTGTATTAATAATGCCTTACTTTGGTTTTATAATTAATGGTCAATCAAAAAATGGTAATTTTATTTAATGACCAAGAATCGGTTTTCTTATTAAGGTTTTGCAAAAGGTCAACATGTCCAAAAATTTATTTTTACAATAGCTCCAAAACTATGTGGTTTATAAAGTTATACTTTTACAGTATAGAAAGATATCATTGATTAACAGATAGAAAGTATCACTTGATAACAAATACTTAAAAAAAATATTTATCGAGAAAAATTCATATATTTTTAAAAAATACACCTAATTCCGTACTTTTAGTGAAAGCCATCATTGCAGAAACAATATATGTTTATCAGTGAAGGGCAAGTTGGACTTCGATAGCCTCTGGAAAGTTATTTTCCCTTTTTATTTTGTCCAAATGTTAAGATTTGAAACCAAAAGTACATTGCAAATGGCGGATTTTATAGGGGTCTTGTCTTCATGCATGTCATGCTTTCAATAACAGTCTTTCAGGGACCATTCACGTCCAACTTGCCCTTCATTGATGAACACATATTATTTCTGCAATGATGGTTTTCACTAAAAGTACAGAATTAAACAGGTGCATTTTTTTTAAATATGCAAATTTTTTGAATTTTTTTTTCTCAAAAAATATTTTTTTTAAATATTTGTTTTCAAGTGATACTTTCTATCTGTTAATCAATGACATATTTATAAACTGTACAAGTTTTAACTTTATACCTCACATAGTTTTGGAGCTATTGTAAAAATAAATTTTTGGACTGAAAGTCTGAAAACCTTGCATTCCCTAGGCTATGAATATTATCTCATAATTATTCAAACCGGAAAACGTCTCCCGATTTCGTTTGAAGGGTAGACTGCACTTGTCAATTTCCTATCATGATGAAAGGAAAAATACTGCAATATTTAAAGGCTGCATGATCGAAGGTAAATAAATGAATTTAAAATCAGACGGTCTACGTTACAAACCCGTCCACTGACTGATGTATTTATTTATCAAATGGTGTAACTATGCAATAATATTCACTTGTATAGATACAAGACTTTTTTCATTACACACATCTCATAATCTTTCCATATAAATGGAATTTAACGTCAGGATATAGGTTAGGGTGGTGTAACTTCGACCACCTGGTTAATTTCGACCGTTCATAAATAGGCCTACCTTAAAATAATTTGTTTATAACCCATTATAGTGTACACACTATACATTTATTGACTGGGTTCTCGGGCAACATGCGTTTTGTCGGACCCAAGAACCAAACTGTTTGCCTGAGGCCGTTTTTTTTACCCAACACACATATATTGTAAATCGAACACATTTATTTTATATCATGACGAATAATACATATAATACAATGTAATCTGAACAATAAAAGGTGTTCCGAAGGAAAATGGATCCAGTAAAAGTTTAGCGTAATACATGTAAGAGGCAGTGACATACTTGAACAAATCTAAATATAAAAAAAATAATCGGTCGAAATTACACCACCCTAACCTACAGTGTATCTGTCGTATATGTATAATACTTATAAAAACAAACGTTGCAATGTTTAATTTATTTATACATACGGACATCCAGGTTGACATCAGTAAAATCATCGATATTTTTGTTGAACACGGAATCCAAGACGTATGCTGCTTGAAAACCCCACTAGTGATTAAGATATCCGACCCACATTAGGACCTAATTTTCTAACCTTAAATATCAGTCGTATTTAAAGTACTATGATATTGTTTCAAAGCACTTTAGAATAGAAAAGGATTTACCAAGAGAAATTTTCAACAATATACATTTATTGACTGGGTTCAAGGGCAACATCCGTTTTGTCGGACCCAAGAACAGTTTGGTTCGAGGGGTCAACAAAACGTATTTGCCCGAGAACACAGTCAATAAATGTTTTGTTATATCTTTTATTTTTTATTTTGACATAACATGATGTAAATTTTGTTTACCCGCACTGCGGTTTAAACTTGGTCAATTCCGTGAAGTTCTGTCGAACTCCAACGAATGCAAATAAGATACACCTGACCCCGCCCACACTGTGACGTAAGCGGTCCAACATCTCATCGACAGGTCCAATATCTTGCTCTGCGGTCAAACATCGATTTTTTTATGACCGCTCAGTAAAACATTGGAATTGTTAGACTTTTTAAAGTATAGAATTATATAGGAAACAATTTTTAAAGGTATAACAAAAAAAAAATTACTACCTAAGCAGTTATTAATCTTTGAAGATTATATTGAATTCTATGGAAAAAAGTAGATTAAAAAAAATTAAAAAATTAAATACTTAGAATATCAATAAATGCTGTGATTGAAAGATGTTTTTGATCAAAAGAGATAGAAAAATAATTAAAAACTTTTTTTCACTGGATAGATTTTTATTTTTATTGAATAAAATCAAAGGGAGATAACTCTTCAAGGACAGGACAAGGTAAAAAATTAGGGCATGTTCCGCTCTAACATACTGATTCTAAAACATGAAAATTATTTTTAAATATACTGAGTACTCAGTCCATACATATCTGTTATGCATTCAATACCATTGAATCTGAGGCTAATATGGGCCGGATACTTAAGGAGACTGGGGAGTCAACAAATTAACCATCAGATATAACTTAATTTTTTTTAGATATGATATCTTAAGCTGTCAACTATCATTTGGCAAACAAAAATTTCATACATTTTAGTTTTAAAATTTGATCATTTTTGTATATCTTTATATGGAGCTCTTCTTCTAAAGAAGATCAATATAGTCTGAAAATGGCCACAACCACCCAGCCCTCTTAAGTGACATTCTGATTTTTGTGACTTCTTGTATGTCTAGGTAAAATGCTATTTTTAAAATCTGATCTTGTTTGTTCGTTGTTTTTTTTTGGTTTTTTATGTGTGTGTGTGTGTGTTTCTTTTAAAAGTAAAATATCGTATATTGTGTGCATAACTAGTCAATACCACTATTTTTGTGCCTGGTTTTACTCTTAAATTCACGAAAACCCAGGCCCCCAAACCCCCTGCCTGAACGAAGTTATCCACGCCCCCCCCCCTCACAAATCCTGTATCCACCCATGTGTACTATTATACAATTATTGCTGTTTTGGAGGTCAATACGATGATTTAGCCCCCCAAGGAGTACAATATTCAACGAGCAAAAAGGGCGGGGTGAATATTGTCTTTCGAAGGTGGGTAAATCATCGTATTGACTGAAGAAAAACAGCAATAACTATTTTATTATATGATTAAATGATAAAACTTAGGAAGCAGTTCATGCTATCTTACTTGTTCACATTTGCTGAAGTCTTAGCCAAATGTAATGAGAGAAGCAGGGTTAAATAAACATTGCCAGTCATATTAATTTGGAAGTTTTTGAATCTTCATGTACATAAGTTGCTATGAAAAATAGAAATAATATCTGGCTCTTTTGTACTATCGATTTTGAAGGGGGAAGGGGGGGGGCATTATCAGAGAAAATGCAGCTGAAAAAACTGTTTGATTAGCCCCCACGAAAAGAACTCTCTTAACTTCAAATTTTGTTATCATATGGGGTTGGGGTGGGGGGATTAAGGCCCATTAGTTCGGGACCAGCCTTTCAATGAATGTTTTCAGTTTTAATTAAAAGTAAAAATTTATGTTCAGAAAAATAGTAGGGGGGGGGGTTCCACCCCATCCCCAACACCAACCCCTCCCCCTAATTCCATAATTTTATGTTCACCTGGATGAAAGTCAGTAGAAAGTGAAATAGCTTTCAAAAAACTATTTGTATCAATTTGGAATTTCTCCATCTATTTTTAGACCAATGTAGAGAAAATAAATCCTTTTATTCACCTGGAAGGTCACGTGCAGGTGAATATAACGTAGTATATTTCTTCACTGTTGGATCTGATCCAATCAGAGAAATAGAAATTATTCAGTCATAGAATAAAAAGTAATATCAAATATAAAAAGTAATTTCATGTAAATTAGTTGAATTTGATTCGTCGAGAAACACTAAAAACACTATTACCCTCTGAACGATGAAACCACGCCCTCCAGCATAGTCAACATTGCTTGACGACGGGTGATATTCCAAAAAATAATGACTGCGCAGAATTTATGCGCACACGGTTCAGTGTAATATGTATTTGTATAAAAAAAATCAGTATAATATAATAAATACAGCATGTAGTTGAGGGTAACATTGAAATTTTCACTCCAAGAAAACCATTGTCAACCGAGGCTCCAGTATTCATATATTGTGTTTTTCTTCGTTAAATTCTAACCTTGAACCTTATTAGTAAACCTTTGAGTGGGTCATCATATGTCGAAAGAAGCAAACTATTTTGTAGACCCACCCTAAGGATAGTGAAGATTCCTGAGGAAGGACATTTTGAACATCAGTTTGTAAATTTAGCTTCAGACCTCCGTGATGGAAAGTTCGGACAGACAAATTATGGTTTCTGAAACGTCATTGCGACATTCCAAGGCTAAATGGGCCGTTTAAACTTAAGAGCTAAGTGAAATAAAACGATTATAGGAGTAAAATAATATATTTTTAATCACAAATACCATGCATTAGGCAGGGGATGTATCTAATGTAAGAAATTTTATTCAAAATATACCTCAATTGTGGGGTTTTTACAATGGATGTCTCTGCAACTCTCTGTTATCTCTTTATCCAAGTCAGAAAAGTATATCGACTTATTTTTACATGCTGGACACGTATAGTGACAAGTAGATGTCAAAAAGTGGCATAACAGGCTTTAATTTCAAAATACTAAGTTCCTAGCCATGATCCGACAAGTTCATATACATTTTCCCAAGTCAAGGGCTACTGATCCACTTCGCTCCACATAAACCAGGTTTATGTGGAGCGGAGTGGATCAGAAACCTATGGTGGCATATTTCTTCCCCCTACATGCAAGATAAATTAAGTTGACATGCAACATAATTATGTAAACATGCGACTTATTTATGTAGACAATGACATGCAACTTATTTACGTCGACATGCAGGTTAATTATGTCAACATGCGAAATATGTATGTTGACATGCAACTTATTACCTTGTATGTTGATATAAATGTTTTGCATGTTTATGGTGGCATATTTCTGCCCCTTACATGCAAGATAAATTATGTTAACATGCAAGATAATTATGTAGTCATGCAACTTATTTATGTCAACATGCAAGATAATTATTTTAACATGCGAGTTAATCATGTCAACATGCAAGATATGTATGTCGAAATGCAAGTTATTATCTTGTATGTTGACATAAATATTTTGCTTGTAAAAATATAACTTGCATGTTGACATATTTAAGTCGCATGTTGAAAATAAAAAAATGTTGACATAAATTATGTGCATGTTGACATAAATAAAATGTATGATAACATATTTATCTTGCATGTTGACATAAATAAGTAGCATGTCTACATAATTATGTTGCATGTTAACATGAATAAGTCGCATGTTTACATAAATATCTTGCATGTTAACATAATTATCTTGCATGTTTTATAAATAAGTCGCATGTCAACATAAGTCTGTTGCATCTTGCTTATATGATGTCGTTTACTGGCATAAGTATGTAAGTTTACCAATATTAAAATTAGATTCTCTAAAATGATTGGTAACTTGCATGTCAACATAATTATTTTGCATGTAGACATAATTGTTTTGCATGTTGACATACTTTTCTCGCATGGTAACATAATTTATATTGCATGTAGGGGGCAGAAATATGCCACCATACATAACTCGCATATTGAAATAAATAAGTCGCATGTTGACAAAGATAAGTTGCATGTTAACATATCATCTTGCATTAAAAATATAACTCGCATGTTGACATAAATAAGTCGCATGTTGACATAAATAAATTGCATGTTAACATAATTATCTTGCATATTGACATAAATAAGTACTATGGTGGCATATTTCTGCATGCCCCCTACATGCAAGATTAATTATATTAACATGCGAGAAAAGTATGTCAACATTCAAGGTAATTGTGTCTACATGCATAATAATTATGTTAACATGCAAGTTCCCAATCTTTTTAGAGAATCTAATTTTAATGTTGGTAAACTTACTAACGCCAGTTTACGACATGCTAAAAGCAAGATGCAACAAAATTATGTTGACATGCAACGTATTTATGTTAACAGCATGATAAATATGGTAACATACAAGATATTTATGTCAACATGCGAGTTATTCATGTCAACATTCAACTTATTTATGCCAACATGCGAGTTATATTTTATTATATAAGATATATATGTCAACATGCAAGATGATACGTTTCATGTCAACATACATATTTCGCATGTTGACATAATCAACTCGCATGTTATCATAATTATGTTGCATGTTGACATAAATAAGTCGTATGTTCACATATTTATCTCGCATGTTAACATGAATAAGTCGCATGTTAATATAATATCATGTTGCATCCTGCTTGTGTGACGTCATATAATGGCGTTTGTAAGTAAGTTTACCAACATTAAAATTAGAATCTCTAGAGAGATTGGTAACTTGCAAGTCAACATAATTATTTTGCATGTTGACATAAATAAGTCGTATGTCTACATAATTATGTTGCATGTTAACAGAATTATGTTGCATGTTAACATAATTTATCTTGCATATAGGGGGCAGAAATATGCCACCATACACCACAGAAACCCTCGACTTGGAAGGATAGTTCTCACAAGGATCTGACAAGATGACATAAACATCTGACAAGACAACACAAGAAAACATTGTTGCCATCAATTGTCGCCCGGGAAATAAATGAAGTAAAGTCTTGATCATCACACCGCTTCGACTTGCGTGAATGATCGAGACTATAGTCGAGATGATTTACGGGAAGCTTCTAATCGGATGAAAATCGAACAAAAACGATACCGTTTTAAACTTTATTATTTCTTCAAGTAACTGTTGGCTGCATAAAATATAAATCAGAATCAGACACATGTATAACCTACTAGTACCATCAAAATATATTTGACTTAATGACTATAAAACTCAAACTGTGTAACGTACGTTTTTTATACGATAAGTAAAATTTAATGTTCTAAAATAAGGGACCTGTCGTTTTGTGGATAGTAAATGATAAGCAACTTTGTATATCACATATGAAAAACATATGTATTTTTAAAGGTGTACTTCATGGAAGTAAATATATTGTGTGTCTCGTAATTTAGAAAAGGAAAGAACATTCTGATGTGTAATATTTTTCATGTATAGTTAACCTTTAATTCTTAATAACTTCTCCCACCTCAATACCATACACCAAAACTTAAACTTATATTTATAGAGCAGCCCGGTTCTCCGGGCTGCAATAATTATCTAACAAGTTAAGTGGTGGCAGAATTATGGCTCCATACAAAACAATGCAATATGTACATCTTTTTTTCGCTCTTTTGGTAAATAAAAAATTTAAAGTTTATACATTTTTTTCAAAAAGCTTGTCCCTTAAGGTCATGGTTAGTAATGTATAAGTTTAAAATTACATGATATAGAAAGCATTTAGTGATTTTTGAAAGGAACATAATAAGTCAAAATCATGTGTTTTAAGATATTAGTATCACAAAGCGAAAGATCAGGCCCGTAGGTAGCAATTTCATTTGGGGGGGGGGGGGGGCACATCCACACATTTTCAGTTGCGGGGAGGCACTATCAACTACCAAGAAATCTTTGACAAGCAAAAAAAAAAAAAAAAATAAAAAAAAAAAAAAAAAAAAAAAAAAAGAGGTCTTTTGTTGAGGGGACACGAGCATATAGTAGCTATGTTTTCTATAGTATTCTATATATCGGCAAAATTATTTGGTGGGGGGGGGCACTACGGCCCCCCGTGACCGTCCCTCCGGTTCCTACGGCCATGAAATTTATGAAAAATATGGGTATAGCGAAGTTTTATCAAGATCAACTGCACTGTAAAGCAAGAAAGATTGCAAAATATAAGCACCTGAAAACAAAGGTCGTACCTATGGTATCTTTGTTATCGCTAGGGCTGGGACGATATATCGAGATATCGATAATATCGATTCAATGTGAGGATGATACGCATATCGATACGTATGAAAAAATATCGACATATGTTTTTCTTTGTTTACTTAACATTTTGGGTTTAATATATAAAATAAATATGCTTAATTTAAATATAAATATGAAATACACAATAATTAAGATCACTTGTGCAAAATAATTAAGTTTTACAACAGATATACAATTTCTTTGAATAATTTATTCTTATTTGCGAAGAAATGTCTTGTTCATTTCAATATAAAAAAAGAAGTTATAACCAATTAAACATATCGTGATACATATCGTATCGTGGCTCAAATATCGGGATACGTATCGATATAGAAAAAGTTGTATCGTCCCAGCCCTAGTTATCGCCCTTCTCAAGGTCATGCGTTTTTTACTTGTAACCAACATTGAATTTGAGCTTGCAAAGGTGAGGAATAAGTTCTGATAATCTTTTTAAAATCTGTATACTTGATACAAAAACCAAAGAAAATTTATACAAAGATTTTTAAAGCAACTTGATCATTTATCCAGCTGGAGAGACGTATTCACTTTGCTACATGTGCGGATCTAGAGGGGGGTTCGGACCACACCCCACCCCACCCCTGGAATTTGATTAGTTATTGAGAGTATATACTGAAGCAAATAAAAAATGACTTTGGACCCCCTAAAAAAAACGTGTACCCCACCATCACTACTACGAAATAGGGTGTTTTTATGCTTGTCAAGAAATTTTCAGGGTTTAATACGCATTGGAAAGGAATTAAGTGTTTTTTCTTTGGATTGGAATTTTTTCATTGGGGTGGACCCCACCCCTGGAAAAAATTCCAGGACCCGCGCCTGTTGCTAAATGCAAATCTTCCAGAGGTTAAAGATCATAATAAACTGTCGACTCCTTTCGATCGTTTATTGTAGTTCTACCATTCTGCAATTCCATTCCATTATGCAACATCAAGAAGCCAGAGAGGTATAAACATAGGAAATATATAGTAGCTTAATTGCGTCTACACTACACCTGTTTGTGCCATAATGTTGTTATCCTACCTTTATTATGATTACATGTACTTCTACCCTCCCCCTCCATAACCTTCCCAGACCCATCAAATAGTTTACTTCGTTGCATTGAAGCAATTGGGATTTTTAAAAATTTCCGCTGATCACTTGAAGTTTTAATTCTTTCTACACAACGTGAACCGAGGCAACTTGTGCTGTAAGAGAACCTAACCTATGATTAGAGATGTGTTTTCTATTAAAAGCCGTGGGTCGACACGTGCGGTTCTACTTCGTTTGATTCTTAAGTTCAGAAGATAAGATTCGAGCAATTTTATTTTTCTGGCCAGAAACTTCACAGAGAAGAGAAAGTTTTGCTTGAAGAATTGAAGTCGCTGCAATTTATTTAGTTTACAGATTGTGGAATTTCGTCCGATGGCTCCGACATTTTTAAAAATCTATGGAAGATTTTTTAGACGTTCGGTCCACCCCTAAATTGTCGTCTGCGCTCCTTGCGACATCTGTGTTTGTTCACGTGATTGGATTCTCGTCCAACCATTGGTCAGACGGAGGGGTGTTCTATACTGGACTCTGGAAGGCGTGTATCCTTACGCCTAGATTCCATTGTCTGGAGGACCCATACACTGCAGGTGAGTCACCGACAATAGGCGGATCCAAGAATTCTCACTTTACACATGTTCTTAGAGAACTGCCTATTGTCATCGATCTATTCAAAATTTTTGACACTTCGAACTGTACAAAAGTTTAAACGAAGATATGGATTTGAAATTTCTTCAATTTTCATTTAAAAAATGTATAGATCTATTACTGCAATTTTTTATAGGAAAGAATAACTGCATGTAGAAATCATGAAATACGTCCGCCAACGATGGACGGATTTTTAAAGTTTATTTTATCTTATCTAAATATTTTTTGTTTAACTTATTGTTCTGATTACGAGGCAGCTTATTTTTTAATAAATTACATATAAAAAAACATATTTATCTCGCATGTCAATATATATCAATTGCATGTTTATCTAGAATGTCAACATGGATAATTCACATGTTAACATAAATAAATTGATAAATGTTCACGTTTATGTTGTAATAATTATCCCGCATGTCGACATAATCTTTAAAAAGTTAAGAGTGAAGTTTTAATGTATATATTCAAAAAAAGTTCGTGGAAACAAAACTTAAGTATCTCTATGTATCTTTATTTATTTTATAAATCTGCTGATTATCATGCCCCCGTAATCGAAGATTCGGGGGTATATAGTTTTTGCCCTTGTCTTGTCTGTCTGTCTGTTTATCTGTTTGTCCGCAAAAACTTTAACATTGCCCTAATTTTTTATTGGTTGAAGCTATGGCTTTAATATCTCACATGTGTATTTCTTGTGACAAGACTTTCCTCTTGGTACCAACATATTTGACCTCTTGACTTGACCTTGGAGTTTGACCCACTTTTGCAAAAGAATACTCAACTTTAACCTTGGCCATAACTTTTGAATGGTTGATGCTAGGGCTTTCATATTTCACATGTATATTCATTTTGACAAGACCTTTCCATATGTGTAAATATTTTGGACCTTTTGACCTTGACCTTAGAGATTAACCCACTTAAAAAAAAATTACCTTGGCCATAACTTTTGAACAGTTAGCACTACCGTTTTCAATTTTCACAGGTATATTTATTGTGACAAGACCTTCCTTTGTATACCAACAATTTTGACCTTTTGACCTTGACCTTGAGTTTGACCCACTTTTAGAAAACATTAACCTTGACCATAACTTTGGATTGGTTAAAGCTATGGCTTTCATATTTCACGTGTGTATTTCGTGTGAAAAGACCTTCCACTGGGTACCAACATATTTGACCTCTTGACCTTGGAGTTTGACCCACTTCTGTAAAAAAAAATTTCCCAACTTTAACCTTGGCCATAACTTTTGAACGGTTGGTGCTAGGCTTTCATATTTCACATGTGTATTCATCGTGACAAGACCTTTCCATGGGTGTAAATATTTTGACCTTGACCTTAGAAATTGACCCACTTTTAAAAAACTTTAACTTTGGCCATAACTTTTGAACAGTTAGTAATAGGGCTTTCAATTGTTACAGGTTTATCCATTGACACAAGTCCTTTCTTTGGATAACATTTTTGATCTCTTGAACTTGACCTTGGAATTTGACTTGCATTTGAGAAACTTTAATTTTCGCCATAAGCTGCTATACGGGGGCATCAGTCTTTCACAAACACATCTTGTTTTCTTTTAAGACGTTGTTGAATCGGAATATATAGCCTTCATCAACTTTTAGCATTAGTTATTACTTTTTATTCTTGAAAATGTGTAAAACGTTCTTAGATCGAACGTTCCTTAGATTTCAGATTTCTTTTGCCAATTCACTGATTTCTTTAAAGAGAGTATCTTCAAATTATAGTCGAGGCATGTATATCGTTAGACTGGTATGTGATACTTCGAATGCTTTATATAGAAGAACTTGTTTCAAGGTTCTATCAAAAGCAATATATTAAGTTTTGACACTATTTTCCATTTTTCATACCGCCAAGTCTTAAATTTCCCAGTTAAAATCCGTCGTTTGCCTTCGCTGGTATTTCGAATGGAATTCTTGAAGAAAAAGTTCTACATTACCCCTTGATGAAAATTTCGAGCTTACTCCAATATTAGATGCGGGTTTTTCTATTATCCCTTGGGGGTACCCAGTGTTAACCTCCTTACGCACAAATAAACAAAACTCCTTCGTGTTGATGGGAAGATGGCGGGGTTTGGGAACGCTAACTTAGTGGTGAAAATCACCTTTATCTGTGTCATTGTTGCTGTGTTATTCCATCTGGTGGGATTTTCCACGGCCTATTGGAGTCATTGGTCTGGATACGTCTACTCTCATCATTGGGGACTCTGGAGGATTTGTCAACCCTACTGTTATTCGGTGTCCTCAGGATCCGGTATATATAAAAACTTTTGAAGGAGCATAAGATTTTTCTTTAAATAGTCGTTTGTCCCAATCACTCATTTGCTATTATATTGTCTTATACTTGTATATGTACAGTTTGTACGGTATACTGTTTCAAATGCTTCTTTCTATTTGCCTTTATTAGATTGTATTTTGTAATTTCATTATTTTTTTTAAAAATGTGTTTCTTTTCATAACACTTGTTAAAATAAGAAAATTATGTGACCAACTATACATGAAAATATATTTTCATAATTGATTCTCAGGAATGATCATTCATGTTTCGAACAAATGGATACAGAATAAGAAAAATGTCTATAGAAGAAAAAAAGGGCGAATTAAGTAGGGCGATCATGTTTAATTACAACGCCAGCTGGAAGGATAACAAATGATTTGTACATACAGCCTTAAGAAACATCTCATATCTTTCTGATGAGCGTGCACGCATGTAGGCGTGTGTAGAGAAGGAGAGACACTCATTGTACAGAGCGTGTGCATGTAAGGTATAAGAAAAAAATAGAACAAAGATCTTTTAACACCACCAAAAAGTCCTTCGTGTAAGACACATGTTACTTATTACTTTTTGTTGAGCATCACTTTTTCTTGCTATTTATATATCTTTAGATAACAAATGAGATTTGCATACAATAGCGTACTTTATATTATTTTCTTTTTGTGTTAGGAAAATTCGTGGAGACAGCAAATTGCTTTATCCTACATCCGAGAAAATGTGGTCGTTCTATAAGAAAATGCAGATCTACACATATTACACTTTTTTAGTTTGCTACTTTGAGTATTGTGACCCATGTGGTTTTTATTAATGCCATTCAAATACTAGTATATGTCAGAGCTGTAGTAAGAAACACGAATAATTGACGATTTTTTCATTCAGAGATTTCTAGAAACGTTTGCCCCTTTTTCAGTTGGTCTACAGGCAGTCACTTCAGGAGTTTGAAGGTGACATTAATATCCCCCTGGCTCGGCATTTAGCAAAAGAAATAAATTTTAAGTTTCCTATACAGCTCATGTATTCACATGCGTTACTTATTCGTATATTTCTCGAAACTGCATACTGTAGGTATTTTGAATGTATTGATAAGTTGCTCTAGATCACTGGTTGGAAGAATGTCTCCACTAGCTTAATTTTTAGTTTACCAATTATATCATTTATCATGGCCGTCTCATGGCTTACCCACGAATTATTGCTGATCCATTCCTATTTATTGTTGGACTGCTAGTGTGATGATGCACGTACGATTTTTCATTCATTCATCATTTTGCATGATTTGTTCCTATGAGAGTAGCTATAGACCTTCGAGAAGAATTGCTTGACATTTCTTTAACAGAAAAAATGAATGATGAATGATATTACTTTTCTTAATTGGTTGGTTTGGAGTTATGATGTAATAATAATAAATAATTTCTATAGCACCCTATATGATAAAATTATCACTCTAAAAAATTACAAGTTCATCGATAGCGAGAATTTTCGTAGGCGATAACATGCACATCACAGCAAGTGTTGAAGCAATAGCTGGAAAAATAATGTAAATTTCACAGAGTTTAATAAGTGCATACAGCATTTTCTACTACCAGGGCGTTAAGTTTACGTGTTTTCGATGTTAGTCATTCTCACCCAAAGTCAAAACTATCGGTGAAAATGTCCTAAGACAACTTTATCGTTATTTTGCATGATTAGGTTGTGTCCTATGACTACATTTCCTATCGTTGCGGTATTTTGATAGTTTTTTTTTCCCTATGAAGACATTTACTATCGTTATTTCGATAGATTGTATCCTATGACGACTTTTCCCATCTTATTTTGATTGGCTGTGTCCATACTTTTCTTATCGTTATTTTGATAGGATGCGTCTTAATTATGACGACTTTTCCCATTGTTATTTGATTGACTGTGTCCAATGACGACTTGTTATCGTTATTTTGATAGGTTGGTTTGGAGCCACCCAAGCTTTTGAAACAATCGGACTGATTGCTGGATTTGTGGGGCTGATCCTGATCATCCTATACATATTCATAAGCAAAACAGCGGGAAACCGAGTCCTGTTCATCATAAGTTTGGTGACAGTAGGAATTGCAGGTACATATATGTATTTCTATGTTGTGTAGGTGATATCTGATATCACAAAAATTTTTCGATTTGCATTTTAATTTTGAAAGAATACTTACCGTCAGGAAGTAAAAGTGTTGTTGTTGTTAACCATATATTCTTGAAATGATTTCTGTATAAGATAAATATTGGGAGTAGAAAGAAAAAATATATTTTTCGAAAATTTTAACGCCATCAGGCTTGACAGAAACAATTTCACTATAATTGCGTTTCATGCTCATATAACACAATTAGGGTATTTGTGATGCAAATTAAGAGCCGTTTCGAGGATTTTCAATAATGCTAAATATCTGTGTCTTTGTTTTTATTAATCCTTTATGGTATTAAAAGGGTAAATTAGATAATTAAAAAAAAGATTTACCTATGGATATTTTATTTATTTATTTCTTCAAATATTTATTTCTTCAAATATTTATTTATTTATTCATTCATTCATTGAAAACTTCCAAGCTCCACAAATTGTCCTTTTTGAATCTCTTTAGATAACTACTTCAATTACAGTCGACTATTTTTCTCTATACTTTCTTCTTTTTCTTCAATTTTGTAGCGGGATCTACTCTCCTAGGAATCATTATTTATGGCGCAAACGGAAGCGCCCTTTCGTGGTCATTCGCGCTGGCTGTCATCGCCGGACTAATATACGGTGTGGCTACAGCACTGATGGCCATCCATCTGGTCAAACCAAGCCTCGTCCAGGGATGAACCTGCGAAGCCAAATATAGTCTGTGAGATGAGGTGTTTGCTGACAGATCTTGATAAAGAGGCGGCGCAATTCCCACTATAACATGATAATGATAAATTAGATATACATGTAGATGTATTTTTGAAAATCTCATAGTTAAAGTATTTTAGGAAATAAAGTTACGAATGAATGTGTAGATTACGTGTTTCTGTTTTCGTTGGAGGAAGAAAAATGCTCTAGAGCCTTTTTTGTATTCCATCAAATCATCACCGCAAGACAAAAATAGACATCAGAACGCAAATTTTTCCCCATCTTCAGCTTCCTGAAATATAAAGATTTATCACAACACCAAAATAAATAGGACTACACAGTCACGTATAGGATACTGTGTGCAGTACAGTTTTGTACGGTGTATTCCAACAGTATTAATCAACAATGACTTGGTGATAGTGCAAAGGGAATCAAGGATAGTGATGATCTTTAGATTCATGCGTAACTGGGCTGCTTTACAAATTGGTTTCTAACTTCAAACGGGTATTTTCTATGTATTTGAACTCTGCTTTTCTTTTCCTTAATCATGTATAGCATTTTTTAGCATTTAGGTCAATATACAATATACTTGTATTCAGTAAGAAGACGTTCTACAAGGTTTACAAAGCAACAACCATCAAGTGAAACTATAATACATTGCAAAACCTTTTAAAATGTCATATTATATAGGCTTCCGCGCTTAACGGAAGAAAATGAAGCCTTTGGGAGTATTAAAATGTACACCAGAGTCCCAATATACATAGGATTTGTGGAGTTTTTATTTTAGTTTTAAAGGAGGGGAGGTCGGCTTGAGAGATAATGAATAATCAATGTCTCAGACAGACTGCCAGAAGACATAACATTAGCTTCCAGCCAGGACATTCTGTTACAGCGACGCACAAAAAGGAAATGCTTTTATCCATACTTTTCATACGGAAGTTTACACTTTACTTCATAAATATAGTTCGGATATAACAGTAGAATGACTGTATATTGTATGTTACTGTATTTACCGCAAACTGCGGTTTGATTTTTGCAAAAGGATAATCCAATGAGCGTTCCGTCGATAGACTTTCGTGTAGTTTTGCAATCTATTATAGGAGGATTTCTACCGGAAGTTTTGTACAGACCATTCAGTAAGTCAATATCAGGTATAAAAATTTCATAGCAAAAGGATGATTCATGGAAAATTTGCATAAAGACATATCGCAAAATTATTGCATGTCAGCAGTATGGTTATTATAAATCAATATGAAAAAAAATATGTTTTAGTGTTCTTGAGAGCGTCGCAGTCCAACATTTAACTTCGAAAATTTTCTTAAACTTCCTTCAATTTCATTATTTGGCAGTGACAAGGCTAACGTCCTCGAGGTTGTGATTTCACCTGAGTTCTAACTTACGGTTTGTAAAAAAACACATCTTTATGAGTCAAATGAATGAGATTGAGGCTACGCCATTTTACGGACTAAATATATTATTTTTGGAATTTGAGAATGACAATTCAGTTGAAACCCATAATACAGATTAATATACCTTTAAATAATTGACATTTTTATTTTGAAATACGATTGTTCAAGTGCCCCAAAAAATCTATAAAAGCATCGTTGATTAGATGACGGCCACTAAATCATACTTTGTAGCTGTAAGAAAGAACAAACAATTAATTGCTACTCAAGTAAATCAAGCTAAAGTAAAATGTGACAGTCTCCACAAATCCTGAATTATGCCGACTGTGATTTCATAGTGTAAAGACATGCAAAACTCCTGTTTAATTCGCGGGAAATAAGACCAATTCCTGAAAATTGCGTGATCAAAATAAACAAGACTTTTCTTCCTTGTCGCTGTTTAATGATGAAAATTAATGCAAAAAAAAAAAAAAAAAAAAAAAAAAATCCCGATTCTTCAAAAACTTGACGGACGACTGAAGCAGAAGAGCATTCAATCAATCTGGATTCTGTTGACTTAAAAATTTCCTCTCTTGCTTTGCTATCATCGATCCGGTCCCGAGGGAGTTCGTTACCTTTCTAAATAAGTAACCAGTGCTGCTTAGTGTACAGTATTAACAAACAAAAGAATACCACTACTACAATATAGAAAACTACCTAATTGGGATTCGCTTCTGTTTCTTTTGCAGAAATATCTCTAGTCAAGAAGAGAGTCTGGGATGTTCATTTGATCAATAGGAACACAGACGAAGAAGGAAGACTGTAGCGATAAATTTTGTTAATGTCTAATCATTGATCCCGTATTCCACGTTTGTGAATTTCAATGTGCTGCTAATTCATCTCGTCAACTTTAAAGGCTCTTCTGGTAATTTCTGTGTGTTATCGAGTGATTTTTGTGTAGGAATTTTATGCTATCTTATGATCGTGTCGATTGCTCATTAATTTTCATATTCCGTTCAACACTAACGATAGAATATTGACAATTTACAATAATTGTAGAGATTGACGTATATCTGCAGGATCCTTTACTTGAGATCGATGTGAACTAATTTTTTCTGTGTTCAAAGTTCTCTATGCAAATAGAAAATGTGTTGATGTAAAGTGATCTGTTCACTTATTTCGTGAGAATTTCTACGCTAATTGTCTTTTGACTAGCATGAGAAGAAGCCGTATTTTTCTTGGAATTTCCCATCTGTTATGGAGAAAACTAGAAGAATATCAGTAGACCGGAAGGGCATCCAGTCTCTGTTCATCCCAGCTGTTCCGAAAATTGTGTTCGAAACCTCTGAGCCACACGGACCAGAATCCACAGGAGGCACGATCCCTCACTCGCACTCAGCGGGGGAGTTAGCGATCGCCAATGAAGGCAATCATTTACAGAAACGCACCGGAAGTACCCACTTTCCGTCATCGGACGGAAGTGAATCTAGTTCCCGTTCCACTCTTGACCTATATTGCTCACCTCGACTTCAGAGACGTAAAGTGTTTCAGTTTGACCAGGATGATATGGAACAATCCTGGACAGAAACAATGGTTTCTCGGAAGTCTTCAAACACCCTGGGACCCGGAAACAAAATTGGGAGTACGTTATCACTGACTAGTGAATGTACAGCCAGAAGTATAGGGCTCATATCGAACGACTCATCCTCCGACAGCACACAATTTTCAGACAAACTGGAACATATAAAACAGAAACAAAACTATCTTCGGCGGTATGCTTCGAACCCGGAGAAAAATCAAAAGGAGTGTGCGGAAAATGCTGTCCAGAGGAGCACCAAGTCTTTCAGTAATTTACAATCGGAAAGTCAGAGAACAAGTGAGGTAGGGAGTGACAGTATGGACGACAGTTTATGTGATTACGTCACACCGCGGGAAGTTCAAGAGCAGATGTCACGCTTCTCTGTCGCCAACTCTAATGAAAATTCTTCACCCAATCTTATAACTATGGTAACAGATGACTCGGAAATGAAGGAAGGACGAATTAGACAATGGTTGACTGATATAGATGTAAAAGATGATTCTTTTTGATGGGTAATTTTGTAATACACATGGTTTATTTCTAAAATTGACGTGCAAAGTAAAAAGTTATTTTCAGTTCTAGATTTGCATTCAAATTAAGCAGAGGTCTCAAGGCTGAATCGTGGACCTGATAGGAGATGATGATTTGTATGAGGAAGCAATTATTCCTATAGTTCCGAACATCAGGGGTTAAAGACTGTTTTATACATGCTTACTTTTTTTCTCAAATATTTCTGCAAGGATAAAAACGTTAGATAACGGGACAACCTTTAAAGATAAGAGATTTTTCGAAGGTCTTTAATTACGATGAGGATTGAAGGTGCACCAATCCCAAAATAACAAAAGAAAACCAGCTGGTTTGGAAAATGATAACAAAGTTAAATAGAATTAATCGATAGTGGTGTACCTGGGGATTATAAATTCACTCCATATCTATTATATCAAAGTTAATTACGGTATGTATTCATCAAAGTCGATAAACTACCTTCTAAATTCAATTGTATAAAGTCATTGTGTATCGCTGTTGTCATGGCAATTCTGAAATAAAGTTGGAAAATTGAGTTGCTTAGACGTCCCTGAAATAGGAGTAAAAAGTAATACAAGGATGGAAATTGCAACAGTGTATAACAGTGCACTTTATATTTCTTTTTTAAATTTTCATAAACTTGTTCATTCTGGGTATTTATAGCCGAGTTGTCTAGATTTATACTAGTATAATGCCTACATTGTTTGCGGCGTGGAACCACTCACTGAATTACTGAACTCATGAAATGTGTGTGCAGCTGTCCGTTTTAGACTTCATGCCTTCAAATCTTCTTAATACCACTGGGCCAATTTCAAGCTTATTCAAATTATAACCCTCAAATCATGATCTTTTAAAAATCTCAAGAACACCGATGTCACGATTAGTTTAAAAAAAGTTTATTCAAGTCATGACCCCGGGGGAATGGTGGGGCAACAATAGATGATCAGAGTTGTTTATGAGAATGTTTCATATAGGAAAAACATAGGTAATCAGAGATTACAGAGCTCACCTCAACGAATGTTGTCTTTAAGTAAGGCAAAGCCCCAAACTAATAATCTAGTAGTGCATGTGCATCCCTAGATGTAACATTTATGCAATTTTGGCCCGATAGGGCTTGCAGTTACTTGGGAATGGACTTACCTAAAAAATTTAAACTAGTCACTTATCCAGAAAATGTAAGTCATATCCAGCATCTGAAGCAAGTTTGAGAGTGTTCATCCTGTGATGCATCATCCGTGCAAGTTTGGTTCAGATAGCCCTGATAGTTTACTTTAACCTGGTCACTCATCTGGAAAATGTCTGTCAGATACAGCATCCAAAGCTAGCTTGGTAGTGTGCATCTTTAGATTTATCATCCATGCAAGTTTGGTCAGCATAGGGTTTATCGTTACTTGTAAATGAGACCTGCTCTAAACACTTTAACCTGGTCACTCATCCGGAAAATGTTGGTCAGATCAGCATCCGAAGCAAGTCCACTAATGTGCATCCTTAGATGTATCATCCCTGCAAGTTTGGTCAATATAAGGCTTTTAGTTACTTGGAAATGAGACCTGCTCCAAAAATTTTAACCTGGTCACTCATCCGGAAAGTGTAGATCAGATCCAGCATGAAGCAAGTCCAATAATGTGCATCCTTAGATGTATCATCCATGCAAGTTTGGTCAACATAGGTCTTATAGTTACTTGGAAATGAGACCTGCTCCAAAAACTTTAACCTGGTCACTCATCCGGAAAATGTAGGTCAGATCCAGCATCCGAAGCAAGTCCAGTAGTGTGCATCCTTAGATGTATCATCCATGCAAGTTTGGTCAATATAGGGCTTTTAGTTACTTGGAAATGAGGCCTGCTCCAAAAACTTTAACCTGGTCACTCATCCGGAAAATGTAGGTCAGATCCAGCATCCGAAGCAAGTCCACTAGTGTGCATCCTTAGATGTATCATCCATGCAAGTTTGGTCAATATAGGGCTTTTAGTTACTTGGAAATGAGGCCTGCTCCAAAAACTTTAACCTGGTCACTCATCCGGAAAATGTAGGTCAGATTCAGCATCCGAAGCAAGTCCACTAGTGTGCATCCTTAGATGTATCATCCATGCAAGTTTGGTCAATATAGATCTTTTAGTTACTTGGAAATGAGACCTGCTCCAAAAACTTTAACCTGGTCACTCATCCGGAAAATGTAGGTCAGATCCAGCATCCGAAGCAAGGCCAGTAGTGTGCATCCTTAGATGTATCATCCCTGCAAGTTTGGTCAATATAGGTCTTTTAGTTACTTGGAAATGAGACCTGCTCCAAAAACTTTAACCTGGTTACTCATCCGGAAAATGTAGGTCAGATCCAGCATCCGAAGCAAGGCCAGTAGTGTGCATCCTTAGATGTATCATCCCTGCAAGTTTGGTCAATATAGGACTAATGCCCTGTTCACACGGAGAGTTTAATTCGAAATAATTTAATTTTGTTTGTATTCTAGCCTCTGATTGGTTAATATCCAAAAAGGAACACAAATTATTTCTGTATAACCTGGTTTGGTATGGGGACACACCCCCCTGACAACCAGCTGAATCGTCTGTATCCATGCAATGCTCTCATTTCCAGTCCTCGGGATTCATGGAAAATTCCAGATTTAATAAATGTACCTTTAGCTTCAAACAATAACTCGGATCTTACCACATGCAAACAAAAAACATGGCTGCTAGGACTATGTATCAGTTTTTACCTCCCCTTGCTTCCCATCACTTCCGTTACTAGGGTTGTATTATTGAGCGGCAAATTTGAACTAATAAAAAGCAACGAAATTTTACACCCACAGTTGTTTAATGATTTTAGAATTAAATTATAAGGAATGACTCTAATTCTTGGCCAAATTATTCGAGTATAACCTGGTTTGGGTCAGTTTACGCTGTTTTATAATCCGCTTCGCGGATTATAAAGCGTAAACTGACCCAAACCAGGTTATACTCGAATAATTTGGCCAAGAATTAGAGTCATTCCTAAATTAAACGTAAGTTACTGCGAATTAAATTTGATCCGCGTTCACACGGAGAATTTAATGCGAATTAGTTTAATTCGAATTAGTTTACTGCGCATTAAATTACTTCGCATTAGCTTCGTGTGAACGCTAAGCGAAGCTAATTCGAATTAAATTTTGACGCATGCGTATGGGCAGAATTAAGTCACAGGCCACATGTCGATGGTCAAATATAGGTACTTGTGCTATTTCTGAGTGGAAAACAAAGGAAAATTATGTTAACACTAAAATGTGTACAGACACTGACATTATTGCTGGGCACAATATGACGTGATTTGTAAATGACGTCATAATAGCCTCACTGAATAGCCTTGCTTTAGAAATAAAATTATAATTCGCATTAGTTTACTTCGCATTAGCTATCGTGTGAACGCAATTTAATTCGCATTAGTTAAATTCGCATCATTTTACTTCGCATTAATTTACTGCGAATTAAACTCTCCGTGTGAACAGGGCATTATAGTTACTTGGAAATGAGACCTGCTCTAAAATTAAAACTTTAACCTGCTCCAAAAACATTAACCTGGTCATTCTTCAGCTGAAATTGCAGCATCTGTAACCTTGACTGGTACAATGAAACATACTAGAAGCATCCTCCATGCATCTCTGATTATTATAGGGCACAGAAGTACTTGCAAAGAAAACTGCACCAAAAATTTTAACCTGGGACGCCGACACCGACGCTATTACATATGCTCCCCCAACTTCGTTGAGGTGAGCTAAAAATCTTTAGAAATCTTTTCAAGTACAACAAAGGCATGATTAGTAATATTGATACAATGAGAATTGTATGGAGACACGAAAGTTGCACATAGGAATAAAATGTTGATGAAGACTGACTCAGGTTAGCATGTTGGCCCATTGGTCCCTTGTTTTTAATTTCCGAGAGATTATAAAGTCACTGATTCGCAAAACCACAGAGTAATAAAAGCTTTGGACGTTTATGACATAGAATGGATTCATCGGCCATTCAGAAGGTATTACGATATGGAACATTGACTAATGTAATTTGTAACTAACATTGTTGCTAGAACATTTCCGTCTTTCAATACCACTTATTGAATATAGTGAAATATTGCTTATTCTATAAGCGGTTCAATAACTCTGTTATTTCTGGTTCTGGATAACCATTGGAAAATGACCGAGTCCAACAGACCGTGAACTTTGAAGCGATGTCATCTTTGTTATACATGTACATCCGCTTTTTTTATTACGAAATTAGTACGTTTTGATAGACTACAATTTATTTCAGTGTGTGAAATGTTAGCTAAAGAGGACCGCTCTGAGTGGAACTGTCAAATGATATCTGGTCTTTATTTGCTAACCAAATAAAAGCTTTATTTGAGTCAAATTTTGAAAAAATACATTATAGGCCATCACAAGAATAGCAAGAAACCAGATTCAATCCTTCTGTTTCCAGCAGGGATCTTAAATCTCTTTGACTCGCCATTGATACTGCATCTGAAATATTAATTCAAACCAGAATTGTTTCATTGGAATATTCATAAGACATTCTTTAGAATTTGCTAGAATAAAAAAAAAAACCATACAGTTGCCCGATTGTTTTAAAGCCATTTGCTTTCTCTGCAGTGATAAATAATTTCGTCTTAACAAAAAACAACGGTCAGGAAAACGATTATCTTATGGTTTTGCATTAATAATTGTAGTATATATTCCCAAAAGTTTGGAATAGTGATATTCTCTAGTGTCATTTTATCTCTATATTGTGATTCTAAGTTGGGAGTACATGTTCGTGCTCCCTGGCTCACGATCGGTCGATCTGTCGCTCTTGTACGTTTTCTTGGTCTCCAGGGACGCATTGATTTACAGATCCATAGCCATCCTAAAAAATCCGAAACATTTGTAGCGAAATCAAGAAAATCCTCGCATGCACGAAATATATTTCTTTGCATGCAATCAATATGGCGCAAGGATTTTTAAACTTTTTAACTGTATTCATCGTGCAGCATTCAAAATCTGTGGGTGGAGATTTTATGATTAAGGAAGCTAAATAAACACTAATGAAAAACATTGTTTTTTACTTTGAGAATTAATGTTCATATTGAGTTTATATGTTCATTTTCAACATAGCGTGTCTGCCTATATCCAGGAAAAATGTTCTCAGACAAGGAAGAATACTGTTGTTTACTTTTATTGGCAAATAACATGTAAATACTGTATTCAATTATTTTATTTTGGTTTAATAATGTTAACGTAAGGAATAGACTATTACAATTGAGTCAATGATCGTAGATTCACGTTTATTCTATAAGGGCAGATCACTCTAACTGCATATAAAACTACCCTATACAATTACTAGGACTCTTTAGTGTGCAGTGTTTAGAGCTCCTTAACTATAAAAATTTGCCTCTTTAAGAAAATTTTGCCTGTAAACCTATAGTTAGAGTAAAAATGGAATAGTAACATTTACAACGCAAACAAAGGGGGGGGGGTGGTTTTGCTTGTTTGTTTGTTTG